CTTTAGTAAAAAAGAAAGCGAAAAATACAAAAATGAAAGGAAATTATTGAAAAATCTAGATTCAGTGCTTCTCTTTGGTGCTCCATTGCAATGTCTTTTTGTAAATTCACCCCTTTGTTATTAACTCGAAATGGTGCACTTTTTTATAAGCCCCACAGGAGTTCATACTTTCTATAAGCTTTTCGCCAACTCGATAAAAGGTTGTTACACTATATTGTATGCAGAAGGAGCCAATAATTATTTCCCCGATTTCATACACTATATGCAATAGAATTCTCGTGGAAATAACTTAATACACAATAAAATAGAATACTAAGATTTATCAAAAGAACCTGATATTGTTATCACGATTAGACAAGAATCTTCCCAAGATATTGATTGCAAGTACACGCAAGCCACCACTATCTTCTATACTCATAATAGTTTCAACGCATTCATATAGGATAGCATTCCCTGAATTTTTGTTTGATTCAGTTTTTGTTGCCACCTAAGAAAAAACACGTCAAATTAAAATAGGAAACAGAAAGGAGAAAAACTATCAAGTGAAAGTCACAACAAATCAGTGATGGGCAGATACCAGTACGAACTAGAATAAAGTAGAACAGCTATAATATGGGCAAAATAAACAAAATCTTGGTGAAATAAATTTTAGCAAAGAAACAAGATTGGACTCACCATTGCAATTTTATGAGAATATTAAATTATAAAGCTACAAAGTAAGAAGGCAAAGTTTTTCTCCCACACGATAAGAAAAAAAAATGCAATAAAATCAAACTAAGTTTGATAAGATGCTGTCTAATTCTACGAAGAGCATAAATAAAGAAACTTTGCCGGATGCTTCCTCCCAAGATACAAGGAACACTTGGAATAAGAAATGAAAATAGGCAGTAGGCCAGAAAGAGTACATCTGAGATGTCTATTTTCTACAGTAAAATAACCTGCAATATGCTTGAAAAAAATATGATAGTAATATATAGGCTGCCATTGTAACTGGCTAAAACTTACCTGTGCAAGTATATCATTCATGCAGTCACTAGCATCTGCATCTCCCTGACCCAAGACACGCAAAAATCTAAGCATCCGGATGTGAAGAAATGGGTCCGTTATTCCGGCAATATCATACTCAGGGGCATATGGACTATTAACCAAATCCTTCAGTGTCTTGACCATGGCCTCTGTTGACTTCTATATGGAAGTAAAATACAATTCTTCGTTTAGAAACAAAGTCCAAGACCATATCTCCATCATTTCAATGTAATATGAATCATTGTAGCATACCAAAAAAAACTCATCTTTAAAATTACTGCATTCGTAAACTCTTTATATAAATTAAACTACTGCGAGAGTCACGGAGAACATGAGCTGCAGCTTACATTTGAAAATAATAATATGAAACAGTGCTTACATTTAAAAATAGAACATAAGAAACAGTATACTAAATTCAGTGTTAGAATTCATTGAGCACTGCAACCATATAGCCATAATCAACAAGTTGGCCTTTTCTTTACTGATAAAATCAATTAAAATGTGTGCTGATTAACTAAAAAGTTCAGAAGAGAGATTAGAATTTGTTGGCTGCAGTTAATGTAGCATAAATGAGACAGAGTGAAATGAACCACGATAAACAATTCAACACCACGTCCAACATTGTAAAGGAGTACATACTTTTAGATGTCATCCAGCAAGAACAAAATATATCAGCAGTCTAGGCACAGTCAATCATCAAGATCAGAAGGACATGAACAAATCATGCATGTGAACTAACAAAGGCACAGTAAAATACCTTTCGAAAATATTCAAGGGCTTCTGAGCTGTGTTTGCAAAGCTCTGTACACAGTTGAACTCCTGTTATCATAACCCCATGGTGCTTTTCTTTCAGTAAGGAGGCGGCAGGGTTAACAAAATTTTCTGCAAGGTCTGGTACTTTCCTTATAATCCTAATTGAACACAATGCTGCCTGCACTCACCATCGGGTGCTCTCAAGTTATAAGAATAGAACAGATTAACAGCAACAATAGAACATTTCTGGTATTTGAGAAAATCCCAAAAAAATAAAAATAATAATTAAAAAGAACATTTTTCTTAGTTAACTTTATGAATGACAACAGAAGCAGTGGCATTATAGAAGAAAACCATATAACAAGTTCAAAATATTACAACCAAACCAAGTCTATTTCATAAATATGGAAGACATGTTTTTTCTTACAGAAATTATTCTAATAAATAAGAAAAAAATCACCAAACATGAATTACTAGAACAAAATAACATTTATCCTCAAACAGTGAAAGTGGAGCTTTATACCATTCACCCTACTTGTAAATCAGATATAATTTTTAATTAAAGCATTGCAGATTACAACTTGCAACACTCACTTTCTTCCTAATGTTTGGATCTCGAAACTGTAACAATCTTTCAACTTCTGGTGCAAGATCACGAGCCATTTCAGCTGAACAAATATTTCCTAAAGCACAAAGAGCAAGTCCTACGATATACTGGTTTGAGTGGTTGAGATCTCTGAGAGCAATTAAGGTAAATACAAAAGCTTAAAATCTGGCTTCTTAAATGTCTATACAGATAATATACCTAAAATAGTTTTCTGAAAAATGAACTTCCAAGAAAAATAATCGAGATTTAAGGTTAATAATGTGAAAATGATGAAAAATGGATACTGTTTTAATGAGTTTGTGACCAACATCAGCACTTCTTGTCTTTCATCTAGAAGTAACATGAGACCAAGATACCCAATTCTCTTTTCTGGAAAACCAGCAGATGCAATCAACTTCAAGCATTCCATTTGACCAAAATGCGTGGGATAACCAAGCATATGAATGAACATGAGCTTCGCAAGGTTTCGATGCCTATAGTCATGATCATTCTCGTCGATGGAAGCTCGAATAGCAGCACACTCTTTTCGAATTACTGCACGCTCCTCAGCTGCAGTTTTGCAAGCACGAATGGCCCGAATCATGTCCCTGTATTAAAGCATCAAGTTATGATCATATGATAAAGATAGTCTTTGAGTAAAGATGAATACAAAAGATAGCAATGCATCAGATATCTCAACAATTTACTTCATTTGCTAATTTTTTTTGTTTTTATAAGAAACAAAACTCTGCTTCATCTACTAATTACAGGCCAGTAGGTGAAGCTCAATGTAAAGATATGAAGAAACCGGAAGAAAAAAGAAAGATTTATAATTAAGAAATCAAAGTATCACCATCTGCATAGTGAACAGTAAGAGCACAGTTAAAATCTTAGGGTGCAAAACATTAAGACGCACAAAAGTTTCTTTTATTTGACAGATATTTCAGAATGTATTGCTAGACTAGAAGCTTAAAAGGCTGCTAATCCACAAAAATTATCACAAATTTCACGCATCAAGCCAGAACAAATACATAAAACTCTTCATCCCTTCCCAAGACTTGGATCAGAAGAAAGCCTCGTTGCTTTTTTATATAAAAGAATTATCGTTGCTAATTGTGCGTGGATTTTATAATCTGCGCCCAATGTAATAAATATTTTTACTGCAAACTGGGAGAAAGACAACCGAAAGAGCTGCAGAAGTGTGGCAATTCATTGTGATGGTAACAGATATCCATTAAATGATGGACGTCGAGAAGTAATAGACCGAAGAATTGCAAGGTACATAACCACTGTGGGAGTGATAATTCAAAGAACACGCTTTACTGCTTACGCATAACTACCCATGTATTCGAATAACTGACTCAGTATTCACCCTACACCTGGCCCGTTTCAAACTTATTGACTGAGGCCACAAATTAAACCCAAGAAGAATGACACTAGTTATCAATTCCTAACATAAGAAAATGCAGCTTCAGCAGCAAGATTCCCAAGTCGATACACAAAAACGCACACTCCTTGGTCACGAATTACCTAATTACGCAAGAACTCCATTCTGAAACCCATAAGAAAGCGGAAAATTGTGCAAAAAATAACAGCTGGAACAAATAAGAATTGTAACAGTAGAAAAGTAATATGCGAAAATGGGTACACTGCGCTTGGAAGCTAACCTGAGACGCGTCCCTGAGGAGAAAGGATTCATGATTGAGTTCAAATCGAACCTCCAAAAAAGGTATCCAAGATCGGAATGAATACAAGAAGCAAGGCGTAATTAAGCAGAGATGTGGAGATTATGCAGCGATTAGAACATTGTGACGAAGAAATCCGAGATCCAAACGCGTTTTGGAGAGATCTGGAACGGGGAGTAGAGAGAGTTTGGATCTGAAGATACGTTCAAGCTTGTGTCGGGCTCCTCCTTCCCACTTCTGACGAATGCGCCAAGCTCTTCAACGCTGTGATCAAAACTTAGAACATCAAAATAAAAATAAAAATTTAATAAAATTAATAAATTAAAATTAAAAATAATATATATATAAATGAATTGAAAGCACAAGGAGAATATTTTTCCCTTTTTTCTTTTTTTTTTTCTTTTTTTTTTTTCTTTTCTAACGAGTTTTCATTCACGAAAGTGGTGGGTTAATTAGATCAAAGTTTAGAGTCGATCTTGAGTGGACAAATCTAACACAAGTCTTGTCTGTATGTATATATCATACACTTCGTCGACTCTAAATACAACGACCAACTTTTAGTATAACTAAACGACACGTAGTTTAGATATCGCTTTTATGTTAAATGTGTTAAATAAAATAAATTCTTGTGCATGCCTCTCGTAATTTTTCCACAATATTATTAAAGAAACAAAATATCTTCCCCTGAGAATTTTGTGTTATCTCAAGTAAAAAAATAATAATAAATAAATTTTTTTTTATTACATGGGAGAGATGTATTTAAATAATTATTGCTTTAAAAGTATTATATAGCAATTCCAGTAACTTAAAACATTAGGCTAATCTAACGAGTTTTTATTCAATGCACAATGATCGCATTAAAGAACTATCTCCTTGAGGATGGTAAAAGACAATCCACGGCAAATATTCTTATTACGCGAATAGATCCTGTTCTAGTAGCTCCAAACAAATTATGCACACAAAAGCAAGCTGCAATGTATCATTATGCACACAATAAATACAACTCATAAAGCTTTCAACCATAAGAAGTAGATTACTACTACTACAACAACTAAAGAATCACAACACCACCAAAAAATGAGCATCAAAATCAAGCATTTTATGCAATGCGGCCAAGAAAGAGTTCCTCCTATACATGTTAATGCTACCCCTCCTCCCCCCCACCCCCTACTGTATAAAACGCGCCACTAACGACATCGTGGGCGTTAGAAGTTAATAAATGATGCTGTTGTTATTATGTACAGAAGGGAACTCTAGTTGTTGAGGATATTGACGAAAACACCAATGTCGCTCTTCAAGTTGATAAAACCGGTTCTCAAGTGCTGGCTGATTTCTAAGAGGCAGAAAACTGCATCAGCAAGGCCTTACACCGTGAATCAAGTTGTCGGACCATGATGACCAAATCTCCAAATGGAAGTCTCATAGAGGATCCTTTGAAAGAAGCCGACATTCTTGTGGTGAACATGAGAGAATGATCATCCACTACCTCCATCATCAACTCGTATGGCTTCCACCAAATCCTGTGTAAGAAGAAGCAAGCAAGCACTTTGATGGTAAATGGTTTTCCTATTCAAAAAACACTCTCAAAACAAACACGCATTTGTGGTAGTTGCCGAGATCTTGGACATGACGAAGAAGCGAGGCATTGCAGCAATCTTACGACATCGGAAGTATCATCGAGGTAAAACTTTGCCTTGCTTGGCTTTCGCCCGACAGTGCAGGCAAAAATTTCTGGAGAGGAAAGCAGTGAGGGACTGGACACGGTGCTTAATATGCTCTCAAACATATCTTCATCTGATCTGTCATCTCCAATGCACATCACAAAATCAGGTGGTCTTCCACTATCTACCATCCTCGACAGAACCTTTTCTGCGACCAGCCCTTTGCTTACTCCCTGCGAGTAACAAACAGCTCAAGAAGATATTCCACAGGATGTAGGATAATTTGATAAGATAGATAAGGTTAAAATAAAATAAAAAACCTGTGGCTTCACTTCAACAATATGCTGGCCCCTTTTAACGACGGCTGGTTCATTGGCAAGTACATTTTCTAGATGGTTCAGCAACTCCTTAGCTTGACAGGATCCGAAGTCCGAATCGGCATCTTGGTGATGCCAGACTAAAGCACTCTCTTTGGGTTCTATGCTCGACCCATCTGTTGCTTCCATGTATAATCTCATCACTGGCTCTACAATTTTAATCCAATCCAGATCAGAAGACAACGGACTGGTTTCCCATTCTGAAGTTCCACCCCACCTGCAAAAGGTAAGAAGCTTGAAAATTCGACCCCAAGAAACTTGCACTACAAGAAGCTAAACATTAATCGAACATTTTAATCAATTACCTTATGAAGTGCCCATGTTCTGCTGCAATCCCCAACAACTCACAAGAGGCAAACCACTCACCTAAAGAACTTCTCCCCCTCCCACTAACAATGAACACAGTATTACAGGGATCATTGCAAAGCGTAGTCAAGACAGAGATAATTTCAGGGCTCGGTGTCTTAATTATAGAGCTCTGTGGAATGATAGTGCCATCGTAATCCAAAAATATCGCCCTTCTATGAGTTCTTTTATAAGCCGAGACAATGTGATCAATTGTTAACTTCCTAAACTCAGGAGAAAGGGAAACAACTCTAAAACGCAGACCCAAACCAATTCCCCAGCACCGTTTACTATAGTGATCTTGACATGCTCTGACTAAATCTTGCATAAAACTACGAGACCAATACCCTATATCGTGGGTACTGACATATCGATAATGTTTCTCATGCCGCAGCTGCTTCTCGGACTCCTGCATGGTCATGGCTAGTTCCAAGGCATCGGCAACAGCATCAATGTCCCAAGGGTTAACCCTAATGGCTCCACTTAAAGAAGGCGAGCAACCAATAAACTCAGACACTACAAGCATACTCGTCCGTGGGGAACCAATTTGTAAGCCCATAGCCTCATCCATAAGAGGAGTTCCTTGCCTACAGACAATATACTTGTATGGAACCAAATTCATACCATCCCTTACAGCACTCACTATGCAGCATTCTGCTAAAGCATAATAAGCAGTCTTCTCAAAACGTGGAACAGGGCGGTCAATCAGAATTACTGGTTTGTAGTTATTTGAACCGTAAGCTTCATTGATCCTTTCAGCAGCCGCGTAGGTTTCCTTCTGAGCTTCATGAACGTCTTTCCCTGAACCCCTTGCAGGGTTCACTATTTGAACTAGGATTATTTTGCCCCGCAACTCAGGACGTTGCCGTAAGAGCTGTTCCACAGCGAGAAGCTTCAGGCTTATACCCTTGAAAATGTCCATGTCATCAATACCAAGTATTAATTTCTTCCCCATGAATTGATCTCGAATTTCTCTGACTTTCGCAAATGTAGATGGAAGATTCATCACCGATTCCAGCCGACCCATGTGAATGCCTACAGGCAGAATTTTGATATATACCGTGCGGCCATAATAATCTAGTCCAATATGTCCCCGCTTAGATTCATAGTCCAAGCCCAACATTCTGCTGCAGCATGAGAGGAAGTGGCGAGCATAATCAAACGTATGAAAACCAACTAAATCACAGTTTAATAGGCCACGGAGAATCTCATCCCGAACTGGTAAAGTTCGATAGATTTCTGAAGACGGAAACGGGCTATGCAGAAAAAATCCGAGTTTAACTCGATTGTAACGCTTCCTCAGGAACGTTGGAAGAAGCATCAAATGATAATCATGAACCCAAACAGAATCTTCCTCAGAATTGATGATTTCCATCACCTTGTCAGCAAATAGTTTATTCGCAGAAACATAGGCTTGCCAAAGCTGCCGATCAAAGCGATCACCGTGCTCTGGGCACATGGGTAGCATGTAATGGAATAAGGGCCATAGCTGCTGTTTACAGAATCCAAGATAAAATTTCTTCTGTAGATCGTAAGGAAGAAATGTAGGCACACAGTTAAAATTGTCGAACAACTTCTGACCAACCTCTTCCTGTTCGTTGGCGTCGATTTCAACCTTGAGGGAACCTATGTATATAACCTCCATCTCAGGTGAAAACCCATCCTTTAGCTGCAATAAAATTGAATCCTCGTCTAAACTGAAGCACCATTTGCCAGATTGACCATCTTTTTTAGCTTGCAAGGGCAACATATTCATAACTATGATTTTCCGCTCACGGCATACAGATGAAGACTCCGAATCCCCGTCATTACTCCCATAATCATCCAATTCAGAAATAATTCCAGGAACAGTCATTACCCGTGGCAAGGACCTAGGCATACGAGGGACATCCAGTAAGTCTCCAGAAGCCAGGCCCAAAAAGTTTGTGGGTGATCTTGATGCCATGAGTTTCCACTATTTTTCCTCGTAGTGGCCAATCATACGGAAGAACCAGAAGACAAAAACTTGATCTGCAAGTAAAGTGCAAGTACCCTCAAACCTACATAAAGGGCAACAAAAATTCACGAACTTTATGTTAGATCAGAAACTCTGAGCACCCAAGTAGAAAATCAAGTAGGGACGAACTATATGTGCTAGAAAACTAGAATCGATATCTAACAAACAATTACAACATCCAGAGTGGAGTTGAAAGGAACCAAATCAACCACAAACAGCAGAAGGACATAGAAGAAATTATTCTAGCTAATTATTATCAGAAACGAGATGATTCATGGATATGTAACAAGATATATATATATATATATATATATATATATATATAAGGGAACGGAACCATAAAACGAAACAATTGAAAAACAAATTTTCTAAAAGACAGTGATGTTTCACAAACAGCAATACATGGCAGGAAGTTCTTTCTAGTTCTAAGCAGTTATGTTGGACAATACAATCCTATCGTAGCCACTCGGCATATAGTACTCCTGCAATGCAACGCGTATTACAGTTTCTTTCAAAATAGATAAGGATCGTCAGGGAGAAGCTTAGCCGCCCAGACAGCAACAACGAATGAATCCCTAATACAGGCAAGCCGCAGGCTGGAGGCATTCATTACCCCAACAGTAGCACATAGCTATTGATGATTTCAATTATTCACTCGAAGTCACTTCGTGCTTACATTTCTTTGTCACTCTGTCACTCATTTCCAAGGCAGTCTTATTAAAAAAAAATGTGTAGATATATGGCAATTGAAAACTTTCTCGCTGGCAGATAATAATGCATGCATTAACTTTACTCTTCTGGAATAGGGAGAAAAGGGAGAACAGACAAGCTTCCAATCGGGAATTTCAAATCCAATTAAATTCTGCCAACTACTTTTTCCAGCTATACGCACAGTAATCTGTCCGATCCACCAATAAAGTTTATTTGAACGAAAAAACCAAATAGATAAATGTTGACGATCGTTAATAAAGAACATTCAAAATAAATCAAAACGAAGGTTTATCTATAACACCTGTAAACAACGAAATCACGAACCGTGAAGTAAAGCTTTGCGAGTGGGGAGTGTGACCGTCTGTCCGTATTCGCAAAGAGCAAAAAAAAAACAACGAGAATGCTAAGAAAGGCACCACTCAGTATCCACATTTCTAGATCTCAGTGTAAAAGAATACAATCACATCAAGAACAATCCGAAAATGGAACTAAAACCAGAAATAGTTTTAAAAGGATGAGATAAACTTACAACCCACTGGACTACAATTTGATCAAACACATTTCCCATCCCAACGAACAGATAACACAAGGAAATGAAGAAGTCGCATATATATAAACAAAAAATCATTTCCTAAACAGAAAACCGAAAAAGAAGACAAAAAATCAGAATTCGACTACCGTATTGAACGCTTCCAAGTCCGTTTGGCTGGCGAGAAACCACGAAATGACTTGGAAAGAAGAATGAGAAGAAGGAAACGAATTTTGTACGTATTCTAAATTGAAGTCGCAACTATGGAAAAAAGATGAAAGAAAACCCATCTCAACTGAGCAAAATAATAACGTCGGGCCAAATGAAGTACAAACCCCATCTGGATGAAACAATTAAAAACACACCCGCACAGAAAACAACAAGAAGAACAAAAAGAGCTGAATCGAATTCCGTTTTCTCCTTCCTACGTGTTCGTCGACAACCAGAGGGTCTTAAAACAGAGTCATCCAGAAAACGACTGAACCAAAGTCCATCCACAGATCAGAATACTCACAACAGAGACGAAAACTCACAGTTAAATCGATCGGAGGACAGCAAGAGAATCGACGCTGATGAAGGCGGCTCCAGAAGGAGAAATTGAAGAAGGAAACTACGGTTGGTTGATCGATCATAAGAGAGCGTAAAAATGAAAAACAAGAAAAAAGATCGGAGGTAGAATGAGGAGAACGGTATAAATACAGTTTATCCAGAAGAGAATTGTTATTATCATTAGCTCAGCCCTCGCCCGGGTCTCATTTTTTGACCAACCCTCTTCCTCTCGGATTGGCTTGCAAAGATTTTCATCTCATGCCTAAATTACCATATTACCCCTCCACCTTTTTTGTACATATTCTTTTCCGATAAGATAATATCAAACTTTTCTTCTTCTTTCTTTTTCTTTTTTTTTTAATTCATATTTTTTTATCCGAATATAAAATTACTTAAAAATATTATTTGAGTTTTATGAATTTTTTAAATTATTAATTACAATTAAAAAATTTAAACATAATTCAAAAAAACAATTCGATAGCCCAATCCAATTTAATAGTGTATTTTCTTAGTCGAGTTGGATTAAGTTATAAACTCAATTACGGCTGTTCGAGTAAGAGATTCAACCAATCTACAGGTTTGGGTCGTTTTTTATTTTTTACTTTACATTTTTAATATCAAAATTATAATTTAATATTTAACTTATTACAAACTTGAAGGGATAATATGAAAATATATTTACAATGTAATAGTAAAATATTATAATGATCCAGCTCGACTCAATTGTTTTAAATAAAGATAAAAATTAGATAATAATTTATTGGAATTTAAAAATTAGGGTGAAAAAAAAAGGGAATTGGAGCGGGCGGCGAGTCTTTATTTTTTATTATTTTTTGTCTCTCTCTTGCCTTTTGGAGGAGTTAAAATAAAAAACATTATCTTCCAATAGTGTATTTCCACACCTTTTTTAGTAATTTGATATTTGAAAAACCATATAATAACAATAATAACATTATAAATAAGTGATATTTAGGTCAAATATTGATAAGCCTCCTGTTAGGTCACCGTTTAAAAAAAAGGTGCTTTAATCCCCCAATGAAAATTCTAATTATAATATTAGTATTATATGATATTCAATACCTTTATAATCAACCCTAGCTACTAAAATATACCTAACTAATAAACTTTATCTTATAATTTTTTAATATATCATTCTAGATACTTCCATTACTCACGCCCAATTGTTATATTAAAAAATAATAAATTTTAATATTTATACCAATCTTTTATTTTGAATAATAATTATTATTATTCAAAATAACTCAAAATTGTTTTACTCAATTTCAGTCACCGAACCTTTTTAATTAACCAAATAATAATAATTATAAATTTTATTAAATATTGTTTGTTTTGATATGTTACGTATGGATAAGTTTTCATGTCATTAAAAGGAATGTTACACACTACTCAAAGCCTCCCCTTAATCGAGGCTCGACTCCTTTCTCTAGAGCCCTCGAACAAAGTACGCCCTTTGTTCGATACTTTAGTCACTTTTGACTACACCTTCCTTCGAGACTCACAATTCTCTGTTCGATATTTGAGGATTCTATTGATATAGCTAAGTTTAGGGCATGGTTACTCACTTCTCAAAGCCTCCCCTTAATCGAGGCTCGACTCCTTTCTCTAAAACCCTCGAACAAAGTACACCCTTTGTTCGACACTTTAGTCACTTTTGACTACACTTTCGAGTCTCACAATTCTTTGTTCGATATTTGGGAATTCTATTGATATACTAAGCTTAAGGTATGACTCTGATACCATGTTAGAAATCATGACTCTTCATAATGGTACGATATTATCCATTATAAGCTCTTATAGCTTTGCTTTGGGCTTCCTCAAAAGACCTCACAAGATACTATTCCTCACTTATAAACTTACGATAGTCCACTAAATTAACCAATGTGGGACTCGCTCCCAATGATCAACTACATGCTCGGTGTGTAACTCTAATACCATTTGTAACAGTTCAAACTCACCGATAATAAATAATCATCGGTCTCACTATTTTAAAATACGTCTATTGTTAAGAGAAAAATTAATTAAAACTTCTTTTAAGTTAGGTGTAAGCTAATCTTATAATATATTAAAAATACAAAATTAAATAAGACCCGAGTACGAACTATATCTTATAATTTATTATAACTAATTAATCAATTGATTTTTCTACTTATTGTGTTTTTTTTTTTTTTTTTTTTTTAATAATGTAATTATTTAATAATTAACTTTGCTTAAAGGAAAACCTCGTGTATTATAATAATGATTAGAGATAATGATAAGACAATGGAACAAGATTTGTTGTATATTAATCACATCCGCATGCTAAACCATAACCGACCTTTCATAACCTCAAACACTAAAAGACCCATTTTAATATTATTAAAAATAAAATGGCCATTTAGAAAATGTAATTATTTTTACTTTATGTCCTTTTATTTCCGCCAATTACAACAAAAGTCCTTCAAATGACGGCGATATGGTGGGTATTAATTATTTGAATTAAAACAATTATTTATTTACTTGTACGAATATAATACATATTTTTTATTTGTTGATTAATTAATGGGAGAGATTAAAATAATATTTTGTTGATTAGGAGTTTCCACGTAGGCAGCCACGGTGCGAGCTTATCAGAAGATTAGTCATCTTTTGTTGGATAATGATGGGATATGGCGGTATTAATGTAATGAATGATAAAATTGACGGTTAATGTTTGGGTCACTAATAATGGAATTATGGAATGGATAATATCTGGAATTTGAAGGAAAATAATAATTAATAGAGGGATAATATTGTAAATGAATGGAAAGACGAGGGTAATTGGGTAAAATAACGTGGGGATCCAAAGCGTGGGAATTTTAACAAAGACAACTGGAAAACGCAAGGCACTGGGGAGGATGAATCTGATTGGTAAAATAACGTTTTTTTAATATATTTTATAGATAATAATTAATATTTTTATAGATGACTTTCTATAATTGTTTGTAATTTATTAAAAAAATTGCTTAATTAATAAAAATTATCTCAAAAAATATTTCTAGATAGTTTTTAAAAAAAGCTTTTAGATTTAAAAAAGTTTTATTAATATTCTTAATTAAAAAATAACCTTCATATGATATTAAAGTAAATTAAATAATTTGAAGATAATTCATTGACGTGGATG